AACCCTTTCTAGAATATATCAGTCCTCTCTAAGACAGGGACTGGTTACCTGGATACTGTTTTCCAGTCTAGGCTTCACCAGAAATGTATATAAGGAGGTGAACATATGTCTGGTGATTTTATCAAATGTTCCCATAGTAATATTTAGAACAGCACATTTAAGCTTAAATGTGTGAGCAGAGACAGCTCACTGATATACAAAATAAATGAGAAAGGCCCGACTCCAGTGCTTTGTGGCACTCCACTCTGTACTGTTGTCCAGGAGGAGAGTTCTTCATGGCCCTCTGCCTCCCATCTATGAGAAATTACCTAATCCAGTTTACTAAACTTGCTTTGGTTCCAAGACCTCAGAAACACTTGAGGAGTCTTTTGTGAGGAACTTCATCAAAGGCTCAGCTGAAGCCAATGAAGACGTCATTGACTGGCCTTCTGTTGTCCCTTGATTTGATTCAGCTTTTTTGCGGTGAGAAGAACTGAGAGGCATGAGAGGTTCCCTCGGAAGCCGTTTTGTGCTTTGAATATCAGATTTTGTTCTCCAGACATGCCATGATAGCTTCCTCGCTGATTCTTTCCGGCCTCTTGTTTAGGTTGCTGGTGAGAATAACTGGCGTGTAGTTTGAGTGGGATTGTCTTTATCCTACTTTGTGGATCGAGGTTGAAAGCAAGCAGGCTTCATTCCGGAAGCCACTTCTTGTATTAGGGAGGACTAACGTACCTGTGCCGAAGTCTGGTTCTGGAAATGGTTGTCAATGCAGTCGAAGATTGAACGATCAATTCATGGTTGTTTGCTCAAGACCAATTTCCACAATTTTCCCAGAGGCATCAATACTACAGTCATCGTCTCATCGGTCGCTGTTCAGAAAGAAGAGTAAAAAACCGTCAGAAGTAATATTGTGATTTATTATTGTAATATTTGTTCACAGACCTTAGTTATAACATTGTTTATATGTTGGTGTAACAATAAAGAATCCTCGAGTCAACAATTGGTGTTTTGGTTTTTTCGTCCGTTATTACTAAGCGTTTCTGAGAAACTTCAAGGAACAGCGTGAGTCCCAGCGTAGCAAGAGCTGGGCATTGACGGTTTACGAGGCGTGATTGACAATGGTGTTAAGTTTAGACCTTTTGCTATTACCTGTCGTTTTTTGAAACTAATGGAGAAATTGTTACAAAAACTTGTTGTCTCATGAAGCTTCTCAAATAATCCAAATCTGTTTGCCTAAACCAGGGTAGAAGTACTTTAGACCCTGATGTGTTTCATCACAACATAATATTCTCCTTAGAAAATGGGGCCAAGTATGTCCGTTGTACGTTCCTTGATTACACATCTGCTTTCAACTCTGTACCTAGAGGTCTTTTGTTAAACAAGCTCAGCCTTACACAAACTGAGCCCTGGCTGCACTCTTACTTCTCCAATAGAATTCAGTACACGGTATATAATGGTGTAGCTTCCTCTCCTTTGCTTACTGAAGCTGGTGTTCCTCAGGGTGCTGTTCTCTCGCAGTTTCTTTTTTCTTCTTCTCACATGACTTACCTCTCTGAGACGAAATCAACTTCGTCAAATATGCAGATGATCTGACTGTTTCGCTTCCCATTAAGTCTCAGTCAGACTGCTTCAAATTGAGTAGCTTCCTGTCGGACATCAGTCAGTGGTCTAAACTAAATGGCCTCATGCGGAATCCCTCAAAATGCCAGACTATTGACTTCTCCTTTAGGCACAAACGAGATTTACGAACACTAGTAGGCGCTCATGAAGCCTGTAGCATTGAGGGGACTAAACCTGAAACTAAGTCTGATGCGTAATACCTCGGATTAGTTCTATCTTCCGACCTTACTTGGTCATCCCATATCCGTATGATTTCCAAGAGAGTGTTTCGTCTAACCTACTACATTAAGAAAGTCAGACTAACTGGAGTCACTCAACCTCTGCTTTCACAATTTGTCAACTCTCGTATTTTACCCAAACTTCTTTACTGCTCACCATTAGTCTTTCCTGGGTTACTGAAAAAGGACTATACCATCCTTAGAAGGATGTTGAAGGTAGTTAGTAGGACAAGTGGTGTAAAATTCAGTCAGCTCGTCACTACATTAGTAGATAAGCATCTGAATACATGCGAAAAACGGTCAAAAACCATACTCTCTGACTTCCAACACCACCTCTATTCCCAACTCTCTCTTTGCATCTCATCAGGTAAAACCAGAAATCTGTATAAAATAATATATGCTCGTACAACCAAGTATAGAAACTCAACGATACCATATTTCGCTAGCCCGTGTTCTAAGTGACCGAGACAGTGTTAAGCGCGAAACCTATGACCTGCTTTGTTGTTTATAAAATAATTTTGGCCGTCTTATTTCTCCCATATTCTCTCCTATTTGTATTCTATGGTGAACACCCTTCTTAAACATACTTAGCTACCTAAAATTATTATCATTGGCTTACTTTTTTATTCAGTATTCTATTCCTTCTTTTGTTTATCTACTGGTCCCGACTATAAAGGAGGGAGGGTGGCGCTAGCTGATCAGTAGATATGGTGGTGGTCACTAAGGTGAATCACCCCACTCTGCAGGAACGGCAATATGCAATTTGAAGGCTCGAGATATTTCTGATTTTTATGAGGGCTCAGATCTTCATCTTGAAAAAGATAATACTGAACACCTAGACGGATCACGCTTCTGCCTTTAAATATGTACCATTCGCTCAGCCTATTGTTGAGATGTGACCACGCGGGATCTGCACAGATTTATGGGGCATCTTATAAATTAACTTGCTATCCATTGTCAGATCTTTACATATCACTCCACAATCTCTTGTCTCACTTATTTTCTAATAACGTCTTTACTTGATCCTAATTATATTCCATTAAACCTAACATTTTATAGCTCTTTATGAATTTGATTCGACTTATTCTATTCCTATTCTTTGGAGGGTACGGTTGTGCACCAAATAGACAAAAGAGCATGAAATAAGGACAACTGGTTTGAAAATAATTGTATTAAAGCCAAAAGTGGTCATGATAGTAGAAAATATATTGGTTTTATTATACATTGCAAATGAACATTGTCGGTCTAAGGATTAATTACTTCCCCATTCTGTTTTCTATATAAATGTGTTTATTAATGATATATTTCACTCACTTAATCTATTACACTTTAACGTTTCACCTTAGCACTTTAACTTTTCTAAAACAGCTTCCAATCCCTTGTAAACGTTGTACTTACCTCATCATTGGTTGGTTATCGTATGCCTACAACCGCGAGATGAAAACGAAACGAAGTCGATTATCCCGCTCAATCTGGAGGACAACTGTACAATTCAATAACTATACGGCCTGGTTCAGACAATGAGTGTAATTATATATATGTATCAAATATTTAACTGTTGAAACATTATTAACTTGTAGACAATTTAAGATTTGACATCATAACATACTTGATCGTGACTGTAAAAATGGCATGCATTTTCATGTAAATTTATGTTTATATGAAAATAAAATTATTGTTATATTAGCACTATGAGTATTACAAAATTATCCTGACAATAGCCTTCATGTGATATTAGTTTTTGTGATTGTTTTTTTGTTCTGCAATATTAAAACTGACAATCTTGTTTGTGAACGCCGTTATCACCATCCTAAAACTTTGTATTATGCATGATTATTCACACTACCACAACAAACACTGAATTAGTGCTGACTATAAAAAAGCCTGAAATGTTCATTTTATGATTGTTTAGTGTAGTTCAATCAAATTAACTGATCATCTTGGCTACAAACATTCTTAAGAACATTTCATAACTTCTTGTGTGACTATAGCTGTTGCTGTTCACCACGCATAGATGTATCCTAGCTTCCACCACCAAATCCAATATATCCAATATCGTTTTTACGAGCTAGTATAAACCAATTTGATTTCTTTGTGCTCGCTTCTTCATTGTGAGGTATAGGTTCTTGATCTTCGGTAAACTTCTGCGTAGCTTGTCCCGCCACTCGACTGTCGTAGCTTTGGTTGACTCCAAAGGGAGTAGTGCTGGGATTAATTATATGTGGTTTGTAGTATGAGGTATGTTAAGACTGTTACTACTGTGATTGGAGTTGATCCTTTCGCCAGTTAGTCCTTCGGTATTGTCGACAAGAGAAAAGAGATAGTAATAATAATAATAATAGTAATAATAATAGATATAATTAGTGAAGCTATTCAGACTAAGAGACAGAAACGAAAATAGGAAACGTAACAACAGTCAGCTCATTAAGTTTGAAGAATAATATATATATCGGTAATAGTAATAATAATAATAATAATGGTAATTATAATATTAATAAGTTGTCAGGAGAGTAAGACGGGAGAGAATGTAAAGAAGTAAAATGACGAGTTTAATTATCTACCCTGATTGGTAAATGCGATTTTAAGGAGATAGGCCATTTGGATGCGGTCCTTGTATCGCTGCATGGTTGTCCAGCCTTCGCTTAAAGGCGTCCAAAGACGGTGCCATAGCTACATCTTCCGGTAAGGAATTCCAGGGACGACAAACCCGCAGTGAAAAGAAGTGGGAGCGCACCCGGGTCCTTGCCCTCTGGTGAGCTATCCTTCTGGGATTTCCACGTGGAAGCCTATACCTACTCAATGGCAGAACACCTTTGTTTGGGTGATTCTGGTCATTTGTTATTTTGTAGGCAGTAATCAAATCCCCCCTCAGCCGACGGTAACTAAGTGTGAACAGGCCTAATTTATTCAGCCTTTCATCATATGGTTTGTTTCGGAGACCAACCACTCCTTTAGTTGCCCGTCGTTGGACTCTTTCCAAGAGGTTGGCATCTCTTCTCAGCATTTGGGGTGCAATAATATTATGCACCTCAAGGTGTGGCCTGACGTATGTTTTGTACAACATTGGAAAGAAATACTGAAATATTTTTCATTGTTGGTATTTATCTTCCTTTCTACTTGGTATTTTCATTTGCATTTTTTGTTATTTTTGTGTTTCTTTTTGGTTTTGTTGTTGTTTTTATATATATGTGGAGTCCTCAAAAATAAACGTTTTCAATTTTCACTACTATGGAAGAAATGAACAAATTGTACATTACTTTGTTTTAATCATAATCTCTGTACTTTGGGCTTTACATCGTGTTTTGAATGGAAATATTGTAAGGCATGGTAAGTTTGGCGGTTTTCTAATGTTCAAACCATGCTTGTCTACTTTCAGGTTGGCTGCGAAGTATGCAGGGATTGGTTACCCAAGACGAGGCAACGGATGACCAATAGGAGTGCCCTTCCCTCTTATCTACTTGTATTGCGATTGGTTGTAAATATAATACTTGACCTTGAGTCCTCGTTCTTACTAGCACGCAACACTTGTGTGATCACACTGCTAACGTGCGCTTTGCTCTCTGTTTCAGATCATTGCTTGACGAGTGGGATTACATAAATGGCGAGCCTGCCAACGAAAAAACTTTCTTCTTCTAAGTCTCGACCCAATGAGGCTTCCAAGAACACTTCTCCTGTCAAACAGACAGCATCTCACGAGGTGGATCAATTGGCTGAAGTGAGGGCTCCAGCTTTTCAGTCAAATCAGCCTGCTTCGCGATATGTCCATCCCTTGCCGCATACACTGGAGGTGGGTGATGATTTCGAGCTGTGGTCGGACAAGGTGTGCCGATACATTGATCTGATGAACGTGCCTCACCCGAACGCATTCGTCATCGATTCTGTTGGACGGTCCTTGGAAATGTACACAATTGGTTTGGATTACGTGCATATGCCCTTGACCACCCTGTTGAGTACTCTAAGAGCACGTATAGTGCCACCAATACCTCCCATTGAAGCGCTGAAAAGATTCAGCGAGTGCAACCAGAGACAAGGTGAATCTATCAACCAGTTCACCTTACGTCTCCGCAAGCTTGCGCGTCAAGCTATGCAGGACAAGACACATTCAGAGGTTGAAAGCGCTATATATTCCAAGTTCTTGCAGGGCGTCGACGTCCGTTACAGGAAGGACTTCAACTTGCACACTCCAGCATCCATGACAGAAGCGGAAGCTAGGGCACGCCTAATGGAAAGCCTGGAAGAGCCAGGAACCACATGCCCACAAGTAAACGCAATGGGATATCAGCACACAACAACAAAGCATGCACAGAATCCTACACCACCGTGGAAAGGACGCCCACAGTCGCAATCCACTTCAAGAAACGATTGCTACTACTGCAGGCGGTTTGGTAAGCTTGCTAGGAGTTGTGGTCACAATGCAGGTGAGTCACATGTCGATATGAATTGTGTGCCTACTGTAAACCTAATCGGTGTCACCTCCTCCCCGAAAGTTGTAGGTTATATAGGCGGGAAAAAGTGTGTTATGTTAGTTGACTCAGGAGCAACTTGTTCTGTCGTACATTCCTCATGTGTTCCAGAGACGTTTAGGCCAACAATAGGGACTCACAATTTGCGGCTTACGACAGCCAATGGAGATTGCATGCAATCCCAGGGACTGGTCCTGCTGCCACTTAAATTGGGAACACTGTCACTTCAACACAATTTCATCATTTTTACCCGGGTGCCGTGGCAGGTAATCTTGGGAGTCGACCTCCTGGAAAAGCTGTCGGGAATAATAGATTGTAGTCATAGGACTCTTATACTGAAGGACTGTTCCATCCCATTTATTGTAGGGAACGACAAAGAGCACGGCACTTTTGGCGTGCAGGGAGATGCTAAGAGTGAGAAACAGCGAATGCTGACGACTATAGAACCCCTACCATCGGAAACGGCTGCCAACTTTAATAAAATGTTAGACAAATATGAGGACTGTTTTGACTGGGATGGAAAAAGCCCGGGAAGAACAAAACTGGTCCAACATCACATAGAAACGGGTAACGCCCCACCTTGTAGACAACCTGCACGGCGAGTACCTGCACATTACCAGAAGGAGCTTAACAGGTTAGTTGATGAACTGTTAGAGAAAAATGTCATCAAACCATCCGTATCTCCATGGGCTTCACCGGTAGTTTTAGTTAAGAAATCGAATGGGACACTCCGGTTGTGTGTAGATTATCGTAAGTTAAACCTGTTAACTAGACGAGACTGCTTTCCCCTTCCACGCATAGACGACACTTTTGATGCCTTAGAGGGTCGAATTGGTTTACCACTCTAGATCTGGCATCGGGATATTGGCAGGTTGAAGTACACCCAGATGACAGGCAAAAGACAGCATTCATTGTACAAGCAGGCCTGTATGAGTTTGAAACAATGCCGTTTGGGTTAGTCAATGCCCCAGCAACATTCCAACGCCTCATGCAAACGGTCTTGAGTGATTGCATACCAGGTAAGTGTTTGGTATATTTAGATGATGTTATCATACATAGTAAGACGTTGACCGAACATTTAAGTGATATTTCCGAAGTATTAGAACGGATGCAGACCGTTGGGTTAAAACTGAACCCATCGAAATGTCAATTCTTCAGGAAAGAAGTGTGTTTCTTAGGTCACATTGTTTCAGCCGAAGGCATTAAATGTGATCCAGCAAAAGTTCAGGAAGTTAAAGACTGGCCGCTCCCAAACTCAGCCCCCGAGTTACATAGTTTTTTAGGGTTAGCCTCGTATTATCGACGTTTTGTACTTAACTTCTCTTTCCTTGCAGCTCCTCTATTCGACATTCTTAAGAAGAAAGACTACAATTGGACAGCATCAGCGACGGAAGCCTTCGAAAGACTAAAAAACTGTTTATGTAGCCCCCCTATCCTAGCGTATCCCAATGTTTCTGACCAGGCAGGTCCATTCATCCTAGATACAGATGCTAGCGACTCTGGTATCGGGGCAGTTTTGTCTCAAAAAGACGCAGATGGAGTAGAAAAGGTGATAGCCTATGCAAGTCGAGCACTCAACAAGAGTGAGAAGAATTACTGCACCACGCGGAAAGAAATGCTGGCACTGGTCAATTTTGTTAAACACTTTAGGGCATATCTCCTCGGTAGACATTTCATTGTACGCACTGATCACAAAGCCCTTAGCTGGCTACATAACTTCAAAGAAGCTGAGGGTCAGATTGCCAGATGGCAAGAACACCTACAAGAGTATGACTTCGAATGCATGCATAGACCGGGTAAGAATCATGGAAATGCAGATGCGTTGTCAAGAAAACCTCTTAGGTATCACGGTGACTGCCCATCATGCACCGAAGCACAAGTTTCGCTGCTCCAACTAGAGGCTCATACTTCATATAGTTGGCCTGAACTTCAGTCTTCAGACCCTGAACTGGCCTTGATTTACGAACGTGTTCGAAATGGAGGCGAACGACCGACAACCCAGGAAATAAGTAAGCTTGGATGGGAAACCCGGTGTTTATGGTCTCTGTGGGATAATCTGAAAATTGTCGATGACATCCTCTACTACCAACATGGACCCACTTATACTCGTCGCGTTGTGGCTCCACAGTCGGCACTACCCACAGTACTATTGTCATTACACCAGCAGTTAGGCCACGCGGGCTCAGGGAAAATGATTGAAGCGGCTAAAAGACGTTATTGGTGGCCTCACCAGAGGAAAGACATCATAGATTTCTGTGACTCCTGCGAGGTATGCCAAACTATTAAGGCTCCGCACAAATATAATAAGGCACCCTTAGAACCCATTATAGCTGGCCATCCGAATGACTTAGTACAAATAGACTTGGTTGGACCTCTCCCAGTAACTTCCAGAAATAATAACTATATTTTAGTCATGGTAGACCATTTTACCAAATGGTGCGAGGCTATTGCGATCCCACAGATTGATGCTGTAACCATCGCAGAGTCAATTTTTGACCACTGGGTCAGCCGTTGGGGGGCACCACTTCAACTGCATTCAGATCGAGGATCCAACTTTGAAAGTATCGTTGTCAGCGAACTCTGTCGTATAATGGGTATCCGGAAGACACGCACTACCGCGTACCACCCACAGGGAAATGGCTTGGTTGAACGCACCAATCGGACACTTAAAGCCCTCTTGCAGGCATTTGTAGATCAAAACAACCCCAGGGAATGGGACCGATCACTCTCACAGTGCTTAATGGCATACAGAGCAAGCATTCACAAAGCTACGCGTCAAACGCCTCATTATATGGTCACTGGAAGAGAACTCCGGTTGCCAATCGATCTGACTTCAAACACACTAGGAGAGGATACACTGATTGCATCTGAACACGTAATCAGACTTCGACGAAACCTGAACAAGGTACATCAGATGACTAGGGATATACTCCAAACAAACCAGAGGTACCAGAAAGAATACTATGATAGGAAAGCACATGGATCACCAGTCGAGCCAGGAGACAAGGTGATGCTACTTAAGGAGGCACCACCTAAAGGGAAAGCTCTTAAATTCCATAAACGCTGGGAAGGACCATTCACTGTAGTAGAGGTACTAAGTGACTGCACCTGTAGGATTCAGGAACCGAATTCCTCTCATAGTCTAGTCACACACTTCAATAGACTAAAACCTTTTCGACAACAGGCCTTAGAGCAGACAAGTCCCGCAGGAACAGTCACCTAGCACTGCGGACAGTGCTCCTATGGGAGAGGGGGTAGTGTAAGGCATGGTAAGTTTGGCGGTTTTCTAATGTTCAAACCATGCTTGTCTACTTTCAGGTTGGCTGCGAAGTATGCAGGGATTGGTTACCCAAGACGAGGCAACGGATGACCAATAGGAGTGCCCTTCCCTCTTATCTACTTGTATTGCGATTGGTTGTAAATATAATACTTGACCTTGAGTCCTCGTTCTTACTAGCACGCAACACTTGTGTGATCACACTGCTAACGTGCGCTTTGCTCTCTGTTTCAGATCATTGCTTGACGAGTGGGATTACAATATAGTTCTGCTTTCGACTCTCTGTCTTCTCCACCATCTCAACTGCCATCGATCAATTCTAACCACCTGCTTTCTATCTCAAGTTTTGCAGGAGCGCCGTAGTTTCTTCCTACGTACTTTGGTCTACCCCTGGTAACATCAACATTGGAGAATTACTAATGGAGCGGTCTCTTCGCAATACCTCTGGAGTCTATTACGTTAATTGTGGATTTTGGACCTTGTAAATACACAGGTAACAAAACTTTATTATATTCTTCCAGTAACTTAACTGATTTGGAATTTTATTTCCTATTTAAATTTGGGATACTAAGCTAACAGACTCTAAGGTACCTTAGAGTGGTGGACTCCACCACAAAATTAGTGGTCCCGTTTAGGACACGGATTATTTTCACGTACCTATATACTTATTTTTACCATTTTGTATATTCATTGTGATTTTGTGTGTGGTCTTATATTTGTGTCCTATTTTGCACTAACATTCTCAAATCTATAATGTCGTCACGTCAGTCTGGTACCTCAACCGAGCAGACAACTAGTAACGCGACAAATGCCACAATAGATGCCATCACTTATTTCTGTTTACCGCAGTACGGTTTCGCAGAACCCAGGATTTGGTTTGCAGCAATTGAGCCGTTGCTAGAAGCACGGGGCGTCGGTGGCACAGTGGTTAGGTCTCTCGCCGACCATGCACATGGTCCGAGGTTCGATCTCCTGCCTGCAAAATTTGGGCTACCGATATCCATGCTGAAAATTTCATACTTGTACCAAAAATACAGTGTGGAATCAAGCTGCAATCAAAAATGAAAAAAAGATAGCCAAATATGGTGTAGTGTTGGCAGAACTCCCTCCGTTAGTGTTGACAGAAATCAGCGACTTCATCGAAAACCCCCCGACGGAAAACCAATTTGAAAAACTTAAAGCCCTCCTTATACAACGCACCAGTTTGTCAGATGAGAAAAAAATTCAACAATTACTCACGGGCTGTGAACTAGGCCCACGTAAACCATCCCAGCTCCTTAGGTACATGCGCCAGTTAATCGGACACCATAAAGTAGACGAGGTAGTGCTGAAACAGGTGTGGTTGCATCGTTTACCTTAAAATGTTCAGCAAATTTTAATCATCTCAGGAAAGTCGTGTGACTTAGACCCACTAAATGACATGGCAGATAGTATTATGGATGTTCTATCTGATAACACCATAGGTCACAAAGCATCTGATAGTGCAGACTTAGCGGCAAGGATTGACAAGTTGGAAACTAATAGGTCTGATCGACGAGTCCGGAGACGGAGTTCACAAGCAAGGTCACCATCACGACGCCGATCTCTCTCACGACAGCGTTCCCACACGTCTTCTCGGGACAGAAATATATGTTGGTATCACAAGAAGTTTGGACGTCATGCCCTGAAATGTGTAAAACTGTGCATCTTTAAAGAAGCTAATCAGGCTCAGGGAAACGTCTCAGCCAGACAGTGATGGCGACAGCTGTTACTGGCAAGCAAACAAGTCACCTTTTCTATGTGAAGGACAAAACTTCAGACACTATTCCTGGAGCAGAAGTTAGCGTGATCCCCTCTTCACTATCCAGGCGATCTACACGGACATCAGGAAAACTGTCCCTCGGGTCAGCCAACCACAAAAGCACACAGACGTATGGGGAACAATCTCTTATAGTGGAACTAGGTTTACATCGACGTTTTACATGGAATTTCATAGTAGCCGACATCGGTCATGCCATACTCGGGGCTGATTTCTTAAGTAATTTCAATCTGTCAGTTGATGTCAACAATAAAAAACTGATTGATAACAACACCCAACTAAAGATCCATGGAATTATCTCCGATTATTTTGTCTATAATATCAGCATCGAAAGACCAGCGGATTACATTTTTTCCGCCCTATTCCATCGTTTCCCTAAAATACTTAAACCGTCGTGTAACATCGAGGACGTCCCTCATACAGTCACTCACAAGGTTGTTACCACGGGTCAACCGGTTCTTGCTCGTCCTCGTAGATTACCCCCGGACAAAATAGCAGCCGCTAAGGCAGAATTCAAGCACATGATGCAGCTCGGCATCATTAGACCCTCCAATAGTCCTTGGTCTTCACCCTTACACATGGTGCCCAAAGCTGATCATGATTGAATGCCATGTGGGGATTATCGACATTTAAACAATGTCACAGTTCCGGACCGTTACCCGATTCTCCACCTTCATGATTTCTCCCTGACATTACATGGAAAAACCATTTTTTCTAAAGTAGACTTGATCAGGGCCTATCACCAAATACCAGTTGCCACAGAAGATATCGAGAAAACGGCCATCATCACACCTTTCGGTTTGTTCGAATCTCTGCGCGTGCCATTTGGTCTAAAGAACGCCTCACAATCCTTCCAACGCTTCATGGATCAGGTCACACAAGGTTTGGACTTTGTATTTGTATACATTGATGACGTTTTAATTGCTAGCTCGTCGCCTGAAGAACATAGTGATCAGCTCACCATCTAATTTTAGCGATTTGAGCAATATGGAGTCGTCATTAACCCCAAAAGTGCATATTCGGTGTCTCCTCTATACAGTTTCTGGGACACCGCATAACCGCCAATGGTATTAGAACTAAGGAGAAAAAGGTAGAAACTATTAAGAACTTTTCCGAACCAGATTCCGTAAAGAAACTTAGACGTTTTCTCGGGATGTTCAGTTCCTATCGACGTTTTATTCCATCGTGTGCCTCCATAGCTCAGCCACTGACCGACCTACTTAGATGCGATCCGAAGAAATTTCAGTGGTCTGAAGAAGCAAAAGCAGCATTTAATAATGCAAAAGATGCTTTATCCAACGTTGTAATGTTGTCTCACATCAACCCAGAAGCCTCACTCATCCTATGTACAGACGAATCGCAGGTAGCTGTGGGAGCAGTTTTACAACAGAAGTTCAACAATGACATCCCTCCACTTGCTTTCTTCTCCAAGAAGTTGGAACCTGCGCAAACTCGTTACAGCACTTTTAGCAGAGAACTGTTAGCTATCTATCTAGCAGTGAAACATTTCAGCTTCTTAGTACAAGGTCGACATTTTACTATCTTAACCGACCATAAGCCTCTTTGTTATGCTTTTACCACTTCGTTGGACAGACACTCCGAGAGAAGCCAGACAACTGGATTACATATCACAATTCTCAGACATCCAGTTTATCAAAGGAGATTCCAATGTCGTAGCCGATTCTTTGTCTCGATGTGATGTTAATCAGCTTATATCTTCGATAGACATTAGCTTAGACAATATAGCCAAGTTGCAGGAAAATGACGCCGAACTTCATACTTGTAGACGAAAGTCCTCCCTACAGTTGCAGGATATACCTATTCCTCTGTCTGATACAACTATCGTCTTCGCTATTATCATTATTATTATCATTAGTAATATCGACATTTTTGTTTTCGTTTTTACTTCAGTTGGGAAAGATCACTGCTCTTGAAGAACAGTTGTCTGCTCATCTGTCAAAGTGTACACCTTGTTCACCGTGTACACAACGATCTATAGGCTGTCAGATATCGCCAAAATCGAAACCTTCAGTTACTCTGAGATCAAGTCGAAATCATTCAGTCACTTTATCGCCTGACATGAATGATGTCTCTTCTTCTTCTTCTTCAAGAAGTAGTGTCAGCAAATCCTTTAATGGCACAATACAATGGCTTCAAACAGCATCCAATTCAGTGGACAAGGATACACCAAAAATTTCTAACAAACTGGAGATTAATAAATGTCAGGCTGTCAACTCGCTTTCCTCTCAAAGGTAATAATCATCTCTTCATAGTTTTGTTTTAACTTTGTTCTTTTTTTAAAAACAGGTTTTATTTTCTGCTAGATATCCCAACAGTGTGTCTGTGTTAAGGTTGGGATAGGTGGTAGCCTTACTGTCAACCTTCTCTCTTTATTCTGGCCTTACCATTGGCTAGTTAATTAACCATAGACGAGGTTTAGGAGTGTGTTTGAGGTGGGAGTCGAATCCGTACCGTCTGTTTGTGTGGTTGGCGAACATTTCATTGAACTATCGGGTGCCTGGTTTGACTAGATTAGTCCTCTGACTACTCACTGTGTAGTGTCTATTATTTGTTATGTACGGAAGTTTGGGAGTTTACTTATTTTACAAATTGGAATGTACGTCTGTGTCTAAACTTGATGCACGGCTGCTGCCTTATGTACAGGTTGAATTCTGTTTATAACCAGAAGTTTATATCTTGTAAAAATGCTTCTAATATATGGAAACTTTTCAAAGAAATTACTAGTGGTAAGCAAATGAATAGTATTCCTTATTCATTTGATGTGTATACACTAAACAAGTCTTTCACACATTCTCCCACAAATGTCAAACTTTCTAGTGTTACAATAGTTAATGAAACCTACTTCCCTGGTTTTAATACAAATGATGTTCTAAAATGTCTCCAGTCGCTGAACCTTTCTTGTAGCTTAGCTCCAGATGGTAGGTAAGAGCAACAAGTCTAGATTTAAAACATGTTCTAGTAGATGACTTAAGTATGGGTACAATTTTAATGTTCTTCCAAACGGCTGGTACGACATTTCTGGAAACAAATTCATTAAATATGTCACTGAGAGGATAACAAAGGATATCTGCACATTTTTTAGGAATAACACTAAGCAAACCATCTGGAGCTAAGCTACAAGAAAGGTTCAGCGACTGGAGACATTTTAGAACATCATTTGTATTAAAACCAGGGAAGTAGGTTTCATTAACTATTGTAACACTAGAAAGTTTGACATTTGTGGGAGAATGTGTGAAAGACTTGTTTAGTGTATACACATCAAATGAATAAGGAATACTATTCATTTGCTTACCACTAGTAGTTTCTTTGAAAAGTTTCCATATATTAGAAGCATTTTTACAAGATATAAACTTCTGGTTATAAACAGAATTCAACCTGTACATAAGGCAGCAGCCGTGCATCAAGTTTAGACACAGACGTACATTCGAATTTGTAAAATAAGTAAACTCCCAAACTTCCGTACATAACAAATAATAGACACTACACAGTGAGTAGTCAGAGGACTAATCTAGTCAAACCAGGCACCCGATAGTTCAATGAAATGTTCGCCAACCACACAAACAGACGGTACGGATTCGACTCCCACCTCAAACACACTCCTAAACCTCGTCTATGGTTAATTAACTAGCCAATGGTAAGGCCAGAATAAAGAGAGAAGGTTGACAGTAAGGCTACCACCTATCCCAACCTTAACACAGACACACTGTTGGGATATCTAGCAGAAAATAAAACCTGTTTTTAAAAAAAGAACAAAGTTAAAACAAAACTATGAAGAGATGATTATTACCTTTGAGAGGAAAGCGAGTTGACAGCCTGACATTTATTAATCTCCAGTTTGTTAGAATTTTTTGGTGTATCCTTGTCCACTGAATTGGATGCTGTTTGAAGCCATTGTATTGTGCCATTAAAGGATTTGCTGACACTACTTCTTGAAGAAGAAGAAGAAGAGACATCATTCATGTCAGGCGATAAAGTGACTGAATGCTTTCGACTTGATGACAGAGTAACTGAAGGTTTTGATTTCGGCGATGCCTGACAACCTATAGATCGTTGTGTACACGGTGAACAAGGTGTACACTTTGACAGATGAGCAGACAACTGTTCTTCAAGAGCAGTGATCTTTCCCAACTGAAGTAAGAACGAAAACAAAAATGTCGATATTACTAATGATAATAATAATGATAATAGCGAAGACGATAGTTGTATCAGACAGAGGAATAGGTATATCCTGCAACTGTAGGGAGGACTTTCGTCTACAAGTATGAAGTTCGGCGTCATTTTCCTGCAACTTGGCTATATTGTCTAAGCTAATGTCTATCGAAGATATAAGCTGATTAACATCACATCGAGACAAAGAATCGGCTACGACATTGGAATCTCCTTTGATAAACTGGATGTCTGTTGAGAATTGTGATATGTAATCCAGTTAGACTTAGAAGAGTCAAACATCGCAGCTGCAGCCTTATTGTTATTCTCCAAAAGTTTGACTGACTCTGACCTACAGATTGACCCAGTTATCATTTTCTTCGGTCGCACTGCAGTATTTTCGGGGCACATATTCTTCAGGCGGAATGTCGAATGTGGGACAGTTATTTGCAATCTGCCCTAAAGTTTCTGCGCTGCGTCCGAATCCGAAGCTATTTGGGAAACTGAATACTAAAGAATTTTTTAACACTTACGTTAAAAAGAACTGTTAACCTCCAAAAATGCACTATAGTACTTGGTACAACAGTACTTTGTAAGAAATAAAGCGAAATACTCGTGAAGGATATCCAATTATATATCAAAGGTTACAAGTGCATGAACATTCAGAGGGTTCGTAAAAGTTCCAACAGAATACAACCGAAATGGGTGGAGTTAAAGTATCATAGCCAATGGCAAGACCTTTCATAAGTTGACGTAAAAGAAGTCGTCAAATACCGGGAATGCTAAGAAACGTTCATTCTTAATCAAATCATGCCTGACTTTTTGAACCTGTAGAGGACAGGTACAGAATTCTATTTATTTACTAGGTGCTTCTTCTTCAAATCTGTACTGTTAGGTAGGTTTACAGCTTTTAAGATTCAGATTTAGGGCCTTTGGTTAGGGTAAGATTTAGGGTTAGAGTTAGAAGTATGTTGGAGAATAGTGTCATAAATATTAATTGATCTCAAAGTACTATAATCTACGGTCACCTGGACGAGTGCATCTATTGCGCATGGTATGATTTCCCTATAGATCATCTGTGAAATGACTGAGTGTAGTGGAGCTGATAACCCGGTAGCAGACGCTTTATCTCGCGTATGCGTTACGTCGGCGCCACCAACCATCGATTTTAATAAAATGGCCGAACTCTGACTGAAGGATTTGAACTTAGAACACCTGTCAAATAAAACCTCACTGTAGATAGAACGTGCCCCCCTGCTGAACAGTGAAACAACTATACTTTGCGATATGTCAACGGGCACCCCTCGACCGATTGTCCCCAGATCTTAACGCCGCACCGTGTTTGAGTCCCTCCACAACCTCTTCCATCCTGACATACGAGCAACGGACAAGTTGATATCGGCCCGGTATCAACCGTGATATGCGTCAGTGGACACGTACTTGTGTGCAATGCCAACGTGCTAAAGTCACCAAGCATAACATCACGCCGTTGGGGACGTTTGCGACCCCAGATGCTCGGTTCCATCATATACACCTGGATAGACAGACAGATATAGTAGGGCCCCTGCCCTCGTCAAACGGCTGCTCGTATTTGCTCACATGTGTGGATCGTTTCACACGTTGGCCGGAAGCCATTCCGATACCAGATGTAATGGCTCAAACCGTCTGCCGTGCCTTCATGGAAGGCTGAGTTGCATATTTTGGATGTCCCGCAACTGTCACTACCGACCGTGGGCAACAATTCGAGTCCGCAAGCTTCAAGAAACTGTTAGAGCTGCTGGGATGCAAACGCATTCGAACAGCCGCGTATCACCCCGCGGCAAATGGGCTAGTAGAACATTTCCACCGTCAACTGAAAGCCGCGTTAACGGCAGTAGACAACAGTAGGTGGAGAGATTCGTTGCCATTGGTCCTACTTAGCATCGGTGCTACGCTAAAAGGGGATCTGCAGTGCTCCCCAGCGGAATTGGTGTACGGTACTACTCTTCGTTTACCAGGTGAGCTTATCGCTCCTCAAGCTTTCGAGCCGAAATTCCCTGATATTACCTGTTATGCCCACAGTCTTAAAAGTTTGATGCAGCGCATCCGACCCATTTCCATACGTACTCAAAACCGGAAGGTTCATGTCGATCTACTACTTGATGAGTTTACGCATGTTTTCGTGCGTCACGACGCCGTACGAAAGCCCTTACAACCACCATATGACGGGCCTTTTAAGGTCCTCAGTCGGAAAGATAAATTTTTCGTTATTGAGCGATGCGGCTGCCCAGACACTGTAAGCATAGACAGGCTTAAAGCGGCATATATTGAAGAACCTTCACCCTCCCCACCGGCTCAATCAAATAGCCCCACTAAACCTAGTCCTCGCCCAGATCCAACTACCTCACCTCCAGTGACGAATGATGATTCTCCTACCGTCACCAGTAAGACCCCTGTCACACGTGCTGGTCGACGTGTTCACTGGCCCAAGAGGTTCACTGAATTTCTTCACTGAACTACTCCATAGGTAGTGCTACTTAGGGGGTTTTTATTCCTAGTCACAATTTGTAATTCAATTTTACTATATTCACTCTATTTGGTTCCGTTTAAGGGAGTAGTCGTTTTTCCCAGTACTAATCCTTTTGATCTTTCTCTCTCGTTACAGAGAATCCGCAGCAGTTTTTATCCTAATTTTTCATCCATTTCACCTCAAACTACTCGCTAGACCTGTTGGCCTCTAATGTCATCTCGTAAGTCACACCAATTGAGGAATTACGAACAGTATATTATTTTTCGCTGCACAATTCCTTCAGACAAAAAAATTATTTAAAAAAAAGTAAAAAGTAAAGAAAAAAATGTAAAAAAATAATAAATAAACAAATAAAAAATTTAAAGTCTAAAAATAATTATAAAAAAAGAAACTTCCACTGTATAGTTGAATTGACCGATATATATTTTTGCGCATAAATGCGTCACTTCTATGCTGTACATAGTAATCCGCTCAATTTATTTTCACAGACTGTACTTTATTCCTTCGGGTTTATGCTCTCCTGCAATTCATTGATTTTGTGAACCGTACTTGTAAACATTATGCATCATCTTGGTTATAC